CGTCACAGATATGCATATCAATGTAGTACCTATACCTATACACCAAAGGGGCACAAAATGCTGAAGCATGACTACTGTCATCCGTATCTGATCGAGGTTTATGATTGTTGAACTGATACTGATGATACACACTTCTCACACACACCTCACGATCGTCTACCAGCTTTCAGGGCCCTTGAGTTGTTGGAGAGGTGGATAACGCTATCCACTGGATAAATCTCTATCCAGTGGATAAGGTAATTGGTTTCCCTAATATTTATCCGCTGGATAGTAATTTATCCGGTGGATAGCGCTATCCAGGGTTTGAACAACCGGAGCCAGATGTAGATCTCTTTGCATTTTTCAGACTGTACAGACACCCTTGGTGAAAAGAAGACTAAAGTCACTTGATACTTTCAGGGGGCAAGTATATATAACGGTCGGAAATTATACACATATACTGATATGTAGCCAGATACATTGAGCCTTTTTGGATATGAAGCATGAATAAACATAACTTTCCAATTGCTTCACATTACTGTAACATTAGGATGAAAACTCATGTGTATTGTATTGTGTCTCTCAAGGTACAGGCACAATTGAGACACTGTTAAACAGTGTGAATAAGCGACTTATCAAACTGTTCTCTCCTTGATGACAACCTTTGCCTTTTGACAAAGAAGAAATTAAACCGGAAACTTTTAAGACATTAACTTTACGGCATAACTTAATAAAAATAGAAAGTAGGCGTGGTCTTGCTTTAGATCTCATGCGTTTTATGCCCGGCTGTGAAAATAAACTCTAACTGGTTACTAAACCAAGACAAAACAAAACACTCGTAATTCAACAACAGCATCAACAACAACAACAACAAAGGAAGCAGAGATAATTTGCTAAATTTAGGCATAGATATGTCTTTTTTATTTCTTTGTAGAATTGCTATAACACTGATGATATTTGTAAACTATGGAGGAGGCGGATATTACTTCTTCGGGCACGCGGTATGGAACGGTAAGTAATTAAAGAATAGATCTTTCAGTAAAGATCGTTGACAGCTGGAAAGCTACACGACCATCGTTCCTGTCGCATATTTGAATTAATATGCTCTAAACCCAGAGCTCACAACCATAATTATATGTTTTGTATTTTGTATTAACGTTCAATTTTTATTTTTCAAGGGTTATTGGTTGCTGATGTCGTTTTCCCATGGTATGTTTCTTTTTGTCTTTCAGTTACTCTATGTTTACATTAACACCACTGATATCTTAGTAATCCAAGTAACCCGCGGAACAGGCACAAAAGATAGCATGCAGTTTACACTGTTCTCAATATCTCTCATGCCCCTGCTTGCAAGATACCAATAGAGAGGTGTTGTTCAATAAGTACCTACGTGATGCAATGTATCTGGCGATCTCATTTTCATGTCCCATGTGTTCTGGTTATAGTTTAGAACGACCCAGTTAAAACCCCAAAAAGGAAATGTCATCCTCTTATATGAACAGACCGTCAGACTCTAATACAGCGACAAGCCTAATATCTTACGTAACCTACTATTCAGTAGTTTAACGCCAGTGCGTATCGGGAAAAATTTTTCAAACTCTTCAATCTCACTTAGAAGAGAATGCGAACCCAGACTTTGTCGAGGAATAATACCACACGGTATTTAAAGAACGTTTCTAAACACGTATACCTCTAGCCTCAAGGTGGCATGTTATTAAAAATCCCCTTAAAATTTAATGTCGCGAAAAGACCAGACGAAGACTAGGCAAAAATAAACGCCAGAAACGCGTGGCTTTTTTTTGCCAACAACAATCCACTTGAATTTATAATGTTTGTTGTTTAAAAATGTGCCTGTTATAAAGATTCTCATGTTACATAGGTTTATATGGATCATGGGCCTTTCGATCACTTTATCCTTCCGTTCCTTGAGACGTCGCAAAACAAGCAAGTTGAAGATCGCCTATAAAATCGTCAAACGAAGCATCATCTTGTTTGGTTTAGGCCTTTTTACTAGTAACTGTAAGTAACTCGGGCTTGTGCTTGTACATTCCGGTGTATTTTCGTTATACAGCTTCAGTTGTCCTAAATCTTTCATTCGTATGCAAGGGTCTCAACACTTTACCTTTACACATTTCCCAGTCTCAGTTATTAAATTATTGGAAAGAAATGGTGCAATCGCCACTGAATAATTTCTCGTCTGGTCGCAACTTGAAATAGACAGAGAAAATTTTCACTACTATATTAGCATGTAGGAGAACGGTGGTATAACAATATTGCTATATAAAGGAGAGTCTGTTTGTATCAGTAGGAAGCTACCCAAATGAAAATATCAAAGGTCAAAAACTTTATCTTCATCGACTAATTTGCATGTTTAGTTTATCTGCAAATTTCCCATTCATCTGACACTTTTACTGTTTCTGTCTCGATTCTGTCACTCTGATTTATTGCTGAATGTGCTATTATCATGTGTTCATAGTAGTACTGAAATGAAAGAAACATGTACAAGAGGTTTACCACTTACTGATGAATTATTGTGTATGAACACTTTGTCACGTTCTATTAGATTCGTGGAAGGTCCATTATTTTCTGGCTGGATAAGTCTGATAAGGGCACTTTTTTTAGGCGTTTGGGCGGTGTAATCACCAAATTTCGCAATACTAAGCATGAATAGTTTACGCAAAATAACTAAAAATCTGTTACTCCAAAAAATCCACTCGAAGATCAAAACATCAAGTATAGATTTAACCAAGGTTTCGACTGACTATTACTTTCACTCAAGCACATGTATACGAACTTTATTTCTTCAGATGGGAATTTAAAATTCTACCGAATCCCAGGAGTTCTTCAGAGGTTCGGCGTTTGTTACCTGTTTGTTGCCATGATGCAGTTGTTACTTACCCCGATGAACAACAAGGATACGAAGGTATAATCAGACAACTCTGAACAGAGCAGAAAGTAAAAAGAGTAGATTGTAACAATTGTAAACCCGAGCTGTGCATGATAACAATTTCAAACAGTCAAAGGAGCTAATAACCACTACGCGGTAGATGATCGTGACATTGGGGTCGTTCTATTAACGAAGTTGTAGAGATCTGTAGAGGCTAGACGTTTGTTTGGGTTGAGGAAAGTCTCCCCATCAATAATAAAGTGGTCTTCTAATATATATTCGTTTGGCGGGATTCCACTGTAGACACTGCACCTCATTCAAAGTATATAGCCTGAAACAGATATGACTCCAACCAAGAAAGAAAAATTCGGGGAAATTTAACAGACGAAGGAGACTAATTGACAAAAACGAACTCTGCAATTTTCATTTTGTCGCATTTAGGGTAGATGGTGGCACATTTTTCGTGACGTGTATGGTTTATGGAAGCAGTGGATCTTTGCACTCTTGATACTGGCTGGTTACCTAGCTGTCACATACGCGGTAGTTGTACCTGGATGCCCAAAGTAAGAATTGCCAACGTTGCTCATGCAGATAACAGAACTGAAGGCACTGAGATTAAACTTTTGAGATTAAACTTTTTTTAAACTTTTGAGTGTTTTGACATTAGAATTCGGGAAATTGAACGTAAGTTAGCTCTAAAGTCATGATTTAACTTAAACTGTAGAGAACCGACGTATGCCTGCCGGTGTGAGATGGAGAAAATTATAGGATCGGAACAACAGTGGGCAACGTATATCATTTTGCTTCCTTTAGGAAAACAACAGCAACAACAGAAAGGGTTTACAACGTACGTACCCGCTTTAGTCTTTATGCGCTTTAGATGATTACACGTACGTTTTGTTGCGTAGATATTGCTGTTTCGGACAATTCTTTTGCTCATTGACAAGTATTAACTTAGTAACAAAGAATGATTATTGAAGTATCCCACGATGCAGCACGCAAAAACATCGCTCTGTCGGTGTCAAATTCTAATCAAGAGATGTCGAACGCTCTCATTTACTTCATTTACTTCAGTAAGTCTAAGGAACACGCCGTACCCTTCTTTCTCAAATCAAATTGCCTTCCCCTGCCTAGCATATTTTTCAGAGATTGTAGCTATTTATTGTATGATATCAACAGACAGACAGCACCAGTTAGTATTCTCAATCAGTTCGTTAAAACAAGTCAGATTCATAACTACAGAACAAGATCTGTCTCTAGCGACTCGTTTTATGTTAAGTTCTCTAGAACCGATAAAATGTATGCCTTTTTCACGAGAATCGGTGCCCAAATTTGGAACTCTATTCCGTATTCGATTAAATTACTTAAACGTTCGTCCTTTCGTAAAAAAATAAAGGAATTATTACTAAATTTTTTGCGGTCAGAAGATGATTATGTCGAAGTCTCCCGTCTTATTAAGTTATTTAATACTTTAGTTAACCTCTCTTCGTAATCGTTATGTACATGCCTTGTTTTTTGTTTTTTGTTTTATGTTAGTTTAAACTCTATTTACTGTATTGTAGTGTCTTCACTGTTATTTAGTCCATCTATATATAATTCTTGTTTTGTAATATGTCTTCAGCTCCCCCCGCCTCGATTAGTTCATAAGCTATTTGCGGGTGGGAAAGTAATGTAATTAGTTATTTTCCAATTTTCAATAAAATTTGTTGTTGTTGTTGTTGTTGTCTGAAATTATAAGAGTTATAAAGATTTTTGAAACTCGTTTACTTCTCGTTTCCGTAGTTGTATGTAAACGAAGTTTTTTTTTTGTTTTTAACGACACTGAAGAGTAGTTCGGTCGTAGTTTGTAAAGTATTAGCGATCCTTGAATGAAATGAATTATGCTTTTGTTTCGGGCGGTACACATAGCTAAATCACTTTATGTTCTCTGACACTGTTAGAAACCTACATCAAGCTAAATTTGGCGGATTGATGAACACTTGGCGACCTAAATCCGAACACTGTTAGTTATTTTATAAAAACCTTGACGAAAACATTGCCTCAACTTTTTCAAGTTTCATTCCACGTTCATTAAGTCATTCGTTGTATAAAAAGGCGACAGGACACACTTTCAAAATGCTTAAAAATAGTCCTAAATAAGAAAACCGGACCGTTATCTTTTGGAAAAGACAAGTTTTAGCTTTTTGAAAAGATAGCAAACAACGTGACGTAGCCCCTTTAAATCATTGTTTCTACTTAATTTTTTTATATGTCAATTATTATTTTATTGCAGAGGATATACTGGGCCTGGTGGTATCGGTGAGGGTTTCCCAAGCGCTTTTAACTGCAGCGGGGGTATGGCTGGCTATATTGATCGGATAGCATTAGGAAACCATCTTTACAGATTTCCAACTATAAAGGTGATAGATCAACTGTAAAGTAAAAGAATATTTTCCGAAATGGTCGTGCTTTCTATTTGCCACCTAAAACTTTTTAATTGCTATGATTGAGAAATGCAGATCGAGCAGATTGTTGTCGTGTGAACTGGATAAAAGCCTTCGAGATCTGCATGATTCGTTATATCAATAAAATCAGAATTCTGGCTCTTCATTGAGTACCGGTAATTCGTTTTTTCGTATTTCTTTTGAAGCGTCTGTAGAAATTCTACTAACTGTCTTCAAGCTCCGGCTGCACTGCCAAACTGAGCGGCTGACCACAGCGTTTCTATATTTTAGAGAAGTCTAACATTATTTAGGGTCTTATTTTGTTATAATTCTACAAGTGACTCAAAAATAGGGAGGCTTCTTTCCTGTCATCAGTTCTAATAACTTTTTTGCTCATGTTTTGTAGGATCTTTACAAAACCGTTCGTCCGTTTGACCCAGAGGGCATACTCGGCTGCTTAACTTCAATCGTCCTAGTATTTTTGGGCGTTCAGGTAATCTAGAATTAATAGTTTTATTAAAATGGGAACGAATGATTTCAAATTTTCCTAAGATTACAGCTACGTCGTTCCTTTGTGATTGAACTTAGATATATTCTATGTTGTGTATATAAAATTAATATCTAGATTTATAGTCAGGGCTAAAAGCGAAGCTCTCGATAATATTTAAAGTTTGTTCAAACCAAATATAGAATCGTGTAATGCTAAGCGGCGAGGCAACGCCGGAGAACAGTGAAAAATAATAATAGGTCTAATTAGCAAAAAAGCAACTTTGCACTTGCAGCACACTTTTTTTGTACATTTCTTTGCCGTTGTTTTGCACGACTATAAAAAGTGAAACTTCCAGAAACTTCTTTGTTACACGTTTTCTGGAGGAAATGTCGTACGTGTTCTCCTTGCTTTGGTGGCCGCTAGCATTTCTCATTTTGTCACCGCCGCTACAATTCCAACTAGAATAATGTCTCCTTTGTTTTTTTTTTCTCGTTGAGCTTCTCCGGCCTGCCGCCTACTTTCTCTTTGTATCTGTCTTTCTGTTGCACCATATTCCAAATTTGTGGACATGACAATTAATCAATTAAGTTTAATAATTTAGACACCACGGATACAGAAGCAATCTCCGCTTTCCGTTTTCGTCTTTATTGACTAGTTGTCTCTGCTTTACAAGAAGCCGGTGGCTATGCGATTTCCCGCCAAAATAACCTCGAGTTGCATTTGGGTTGCCATACCTGTTGATCTAGTTATTTTACATTGGTATGCTTGTGGTGCGGACGGACAGTCGCTCGGTCGCTAGGTGTACGGTCACGTGATTACTAAATTTTCTAAGATGGTTAGTAGGGCTCCGCGCGCGCCTGGAGCTCCGCTATAATTATTCTTGACCACTGATTTTGCTGAATTTCACTGACTGCACTCTTTAGGCTGGTCACATTTTATCAATTCACTCAAAGCATAAACCAAGGCTGATACGATGGATCATTTGGTCGATTCTTTTGGTATGAATCTACAAGAACTCGTATTAATAATCACCTTCATATTCAGATCTATTTCCTTTCCGTTCTACTAGCTATTCTTAAAAGGTCCCAAATATTTTGTCAGTATGGAAGCCTAGCATCACAACCTATAGATTTCTGCTCTCTTAATTTCAAATACGTTGCTTCATGGACGTGGGGTTGGGTGTGACTACTATATAAGGACTAGAGGGAAACTTTACAAGCTTTACAGACTTTAAGACGCAGCTAAGATCATATCCTTTTAATATTTTCATTAAGTCGTCATGAATTTGTAATTATATCTCTTATTCTGTGTCTATGGACATATCTATACTTTCAATTATTTATTTTGATTTAATTTGAAATAATATCTTGTTTGTTTGTTTGTTTTTTCTTTCGAGGATATTTTTTTGTTAACCTACTCTTAAATTCGAACTAAAGTATAGCTCATCCATGGTGTGTCGTTGTCATCATTATCGACGTCATTATCATCATCATCATCATCATCATCATCACCGTCCTTGTTATCGTCATTATCATTGCCAAGGTTAAGGGAAAAATGAATCAGTCGATTCACCGATAACCAGTTAATAAAAAGCGGGGAATGGTTACTAGTTTTTATATGCAAGAGTGAGGATACTGAGAGTGTTTACTGCCATTTTTTTAAACACTTTCAGGCTGCAATCACTGTTGGCTTATGCGGAGTTTCCATTAACGAGGGCATCGTTCCAATCAACAAGAACTTATGGTAAGGTCACACTACACTGTCTACAGATGAGGTCCACGTACAATTTTAGTATAAAGAACGAGTTTCATATGTTTTTTTTAGGTCAGTGTCGTTCATCTTGGCCACGGGTGCTACTTCTTTTTTCTTGTTTGCTATTTGCTATATCTTGACGGATGGTCTCGATTGGTGGAACGGTGCACCGTTCTTTTACCCAGGTAACAAGCATGTTCATTGATTTGGCGACACAATTACAGTGGTTTATAATCAGTTCCTTAGTCAAAGTCTTGGGAGTTTAGGGGTCACAGTCCAGATTTTATCACTTCCCCCCAACCCCCTGGCACCAACCTCCCAGTACTTTTGGCAAGATCGGAATTTTCTAATGGTTATTTACCTGGTTAAGCGCAAGAAAACATGGAGTGTTATGAAAGAGCTCCTGTGTGCATGTTGGACATTTTATATCCTTATGGTATTTTCTATGCAGATAAAATAGGAAATAAATAATAAAGGATTTAAGGACATTATAGAATGTAAAAATAATTTATGAATGCAGGAATAAAAGTTTGATTAAGAGTCGCACTCCTTCTGCTTTGTGTTTTCACTCAGAATGTTTTATTCGTATCAGGTATGAACTCCATTCTGGTGTACGTAGGTCACCTTATTTTATGGCGACACTTTCCTTTTAGCTGGGAAATGGATGAATATGGTGGCCATGGAGAGAAGATGGCAATGAGCATGACAGGAACAACTCTTTGGTGTTTAATAGCTTATTATCTTTACCGCAAAAACATCTTCCTTAAAATTTAGCTGCTTTGTGAATGTCGATTCGACTTTTTAGCGATGTTGTTGTATAAGATCATGTGTTGCATTGCAAGGTTCTGTTTTCAATATTTACATATACTGCTGAGAATAGGGAGTTTCCCGCATATATATAAAATCGGTTAGCCTCCTCACTCCCTCACTCACTTTCACTCATACCAGAAACTCTAAAAATATCAAGTTATTTTAGTGACCGATAAAACGAACATGATAAGTTTTAAGTAATTTTTCAGTGACAAAAAGCTGAAGTTGAAGAAAAGTGTTTTTAAGTTACAATCTGTTAACATTTCGTTTAATGGATGCCAAACATACATTAAGTTAAGTGATAGAATAACTTTAGATATGTGAACTATAGTTATTTCTTCTTACTGTCATGTGTTTTCGCACGGTTTTAAATCAATACAAAAACAAAGTGACGCAGCTTTTTGAGGAACCCATATAGTTTATAATATGACTGTAGATCTCCCATAATGCCTTCAATTAGATTGCACGGAAAGGGGTGGAAAGAAAAGTCAAATAAAATGTTTCCCATTTTCTAAGCCCCCGTTCGTAAGACCGGACTATCAGCTAAACAGCTGAACATCGATATTGTAATCTTATTGTTTTAACGAATTTCTAGGAGCCTTATTCACGACCTCAACCTATATTGCAGGCCTGGGCAAAGGAAAAAAAAAAAAAGGAAAATGAGGAGAGAGCGAAAAACCTACGTTCCTCTTCAACCTTCTTCACAACTTTCAATTCTCGTATCCAAAGCCCGAAGCAAGACCCAATACTTAGTTTAGTTTATAACCCTATGTTCATGTATCTAATTTTAGGCCTGTTTACCCGAATAAAAGGCTACCTATACCTTCCTGCTCTTTCTTGCAGCAGTTCTGTTTGGTCACATTTCGTTAAATCACCTTATATAACTTAAATACATCACGGATGGTCTTAAACGTAAGGTTTCCTTTATGTACCATGGTCATTTCGCCTTCTGCTTATATAACTTTTACACCTAAATATTTGTACTTACCAACTGTTTCATTGTGTTCAATGACTCTGCAAACTGCTCTCCAAGGAGCTCCGTTGGCAGTTGTCCTTTTCGTAAACGGTGTTAAGAAAATTTTTGAATACTACATAAAAAAGAAAACTGCAACCTAGACTACGAGTAGTCCCTATTTTTCCTCAGGGATAGTAGAGCGAGCGAAACGCGAGTGCGCGTGAAAATCACCCCACGCGAGAAAAGGCGACACGCGCGTGGGGTGATTTTCACGCGCGCTCGCGTTTCGCTCGCTCTACTATCCCTGAGGAAAAATGGGGACTACTCGTAGTCTAACTGCAACCCGGGAGTCAAACCCGGACCTCGTCCCCGGACCACGTCACCACCATACCAACACGCCAAATCCAGATAAATTTTAAAGCAACCTCGTCCCCAGGGCTTTTCCCTCAAAAAAATGGGTGGGGCGCCCACCCATTTTTTGAGGGAAAAGCCCTGGGGACGAGGTTGATTTTAAAGTAAATACTGCGTGTACACTAGCAAACTGCCTTTCTTAACTGTTACAGCAATAACTGATGACAGCTAGCCGTTTCCGTAACTATTAATGAAAATTCAACTTGGGCTTCAACGTCACTGTTTCTAACACTAATCAAACTAAGTAACGTATTTTGGCCTTATTTTGACTTATTCCAGGTTACCAATGCTGGCATCGACCGTTCAAAATGGCAACGTCCGTTTACGAACGGGAAATACGCCTCCCGTCGGAAAATTGAAGCCGGGAAGAAAGAAATAAAACATTTTTCGCACAGAAGAGGAGAGTACCCCGCATGTAGCAGATCACGCGAGTGATTTAATCAAAACAGTTTTTGTGTTTCGTAACATGTGAGACCTGTTTATTATAAAACATGTCCAAGCAAAAAGTCTTCCTTCTAAAACCTACCACTATTGCGTAGAATTCTGGTCATGCACTCTTGAATCTGAACAAGATTTGAGAAAACAAATGCCAGTACCCTGACTAATGCTTAACTTGAAACTTTTATTTGCAATTGTAAATGTCTATAAGCGAGATCGACGTACTTTTAAATTAAGGCTAATACCCATTTATGGGATGAGATGCCGAAGTTATGTAAAGCTTTATAAGTAACATGCGTGACAAAGTTATATTTTCATTTGCTGATTAATCCAATCCACATAAGGGGCCAACTTGGTGTAAAATGTATACCGACCCATTATGCCACACCCTTCTCCCCAGCTAACCAATCCTATAGCAGTCCATTTCAACACGCGGCCGTGTAAAATGTTCATTACAAACGGACCTCCACTGTCACCTTTACATATACCGACACCATGTCTATTGCTTCCAGCGCAGAAGTTTGTAGACTCGTTAAAGTGATAGTCTGTGGAATTTCGGCAGCGCCCCATATCCTGGACCTGAAACTCTGCGTAAAGTAACTTTTGGGATGATGCTTTTTCAGGGTCCGGTGTATCCACTTCTCCTGGTTTAAGAACCTGCGTGGCGCCCCAACCAGCCACGTTTCCTTTACTACCCGGAGTCAGTGCATCTTGAGATGACGAGCCGTTTACTTTTTCTGGAAGGCAGATCTTTCGTACAAATCGCCCAAGTGTAACTCTACTTGACAACTTCACTAGTGCGATGTCGTTTTCTTTGAACTGGTCATGGTATTTGGGGTGCATCAGTATGTCGGTCACGAAAAACAAATGCTGAGATTTTTCCGTCTTGTTGCGGTGACTGTCACCCACAGCAACTCTAAATCTATAGAATGCGAAACGAATTGTAACTAATTTAACAGCTGCAAATTTTTATACATTAAACGTACTTCGTTATAGAGCTTTTAAACCCTCGATCAGGGCATAAATGAATGTCAATCAATGAACTACTTTTGCACACTAATGAAAGCTGATACTTTATTATTTTCTTGGAAAGAACGGACAATTCATCGCTAAACCGATTTATAAAGCGAAGAACTATTCCTAACCCCCGAGCGGTGGTGAATGGTTCAGAGAATAAGAGGGAGGAGGCAGCGTGGCCTGCAGTTTAAGTCCCATCTTGACCGCTGGTTGCATTTGTTCACGGTAGTCTCGAGTTGAACTCCTCGACCACGCTTAGCTAGTTAATACCTCCAGCCAGTTGGGATTGATGTAAGTTATTTGTTTCAGGAATTTGCTCGGCCCCACTAGGATTAGTTACTGGTAGATACTGCCGAGGGTAAATGAAGGAAAGTTATTTTTTTTATTATTTACAAGAGAACAAACAATGAAACTATTGTTTGAGATAAGTTTGGTGTATCATTTTTAATAATAACAATTGTTTTTTTTTTCCAAGCTAATTTAACTGTGTCTATATCAGCTATTAGCTTCGATCATAAAAAAGGCTTATACGAAGATGCTATGGTGTGGTGCAAATATAAGTAAAGCTTACTGCTCAGGTTTAGAGTTGAGAGGTCGTCTGACGTTATCATCTGGGTCTCTGTACATAAAACAATGTGCTGCTGTAACAATCCACTGTCTCTCAATAAGGGCTCCCCCACAAATAAATGATGCTTTTCCTAAATACGAGAAAAGTAGTTGTAGCTCATGTTAGAAGAATGTTGTGTGACTAATGAAATGTAGCTTAAATAGGATGAAATAATAACGAAGAAGAAGCAACAACAAGTAGAGACGTCAGTAGAAGACTTCAATGTCATTCCCATGCAACTGGATTATGATTACGAAAACAATACAAAACGTTGAATTAATTTTGAGCGCTCTAGAAATAAAAGGGTAGGTTGTGCAATTTTCTCTTTCTCGGAAGAAAGTATAAGGTTTGAAAATTTAACTCCATTTATCTCATATTAAAAATAAGAATTTATGTATTAGAGATAAATGTAGTTCAGTTTACACCCGAGTTTACAGAACCCTGGGTTTTACTTTGATTCACATTAGAGCGCTCGTAGACAAGAAACTATTCTTTGAAAGACAAATGGAAAAAAGGCGAACGAAATAAAATTATGATAATAAGAGAAAACTTTTAAATTAACCTGTTTTACGGTCAACTCGGTAAATTCCGGCTTGCCATGGCCACATTCCATGACCACTTGTTAAACCACCAACCATTCGAGGACGACGAAATTTACTTCTCACACCGCACTTTGAATAATCTCAAAAAAAAAGGATCACATAGTTTATTCAACATATATATAAACTGGAGGGCTGTTGACTGTTACTGTTAATAATTACATGACTTGCATGCGAAAACGTAAAAATGATCGGCTACTTCAGCTTATGTAACACAGAAAGCTAATCATTATATCAAGAGAGAGATTTTGTAGAGATTTCATTGTTATGAGTTGGTGTGCGTGAATATATCTGTTTTCAGTCATCCTGTTGGATTCCTATCCTAAATGCATTTTTTTGCAACACTATATATTTGCACAAGAGTGGTTTGCTAGACTGACTTTTATACGTTACGTTGAGTACTTTCCAAACTTCCAAAGTGGATCCATGGTACGTAGTACAAATCCACAGAGGAAAACTTCCAAATTACTGTTTAGAATTAAGGAGATTCAGAGATAATTTGCCTTGCCTTTAATTTGAGACGGGCGCAGGCATTGTGGTCTTTTGTTGCTCCAGTGTCCATTGTAACAGGTAATCTTCCTTGGGCCAACCATCTTGCGATTTCTTGGACAGCTGAATCTCACATGTTTGCCATGCCTAAAATTATTATCAATACGCTTTCCACCTTTTGGAATCCCGGGGTTGTTGCAAGGGGCTGAAAAGAGACAGATTAATACGCTAGGTATGAGAAATATCCACGGAAACTTTCTAAAAATATATCAGAAAATTCCGTATGGGCCATTCCGCAGTGCGGTTGTCTTACCATTACAGACCACCGGTGTACCACTCCATGTGCCACTTGCTTGACAAAACCTCGTCTCGGTTCCAGTCAATGAATAATGCTTGCTGGTGCATTTAAATTCCGACCTGCCTCCGTACGTCGTTTTGGTTTGTAAAGTTTTCTCCCCGTGACGTGGATCAGGTAAGCTGCCACAATCGACGACTAAAACATAAAAATGAAATACACGTTATAGTAAAAAAAAAAAAAAAAAAAAAAAAATGCCGTTTAACGGTGTTTTCAGAATGAAACGATTTTTTTTCGTGGTCTGTTTACCTTCTACCACTATATTTCCATCAGTCAAGCTTGTTTGATAACGCTTTTCCCAAAAGAAAGTAGACACAAATAGTACTAATTAAGTAAGTACTATCTGAATTCACTCGGCTGATAGTTAAAAAGCTTAAATGCAGTATGCCACAGCAACGGCAAGGTCATGATTTCAGCAGGACGATAAATATATTTAAAATTTGTTCTCAGGAACGTGAAATAATAATATGATCCATCTCCCTGGAATTTTTTACCACATTTTTAGCCTGCAGTGCAGGCGTATTTTGGGTGGGCGAAACCTTGTTCGTGTTCGTAATGTTGTTGTAGCCGCCATCTTTGATTTTATGACAATGAAAGATTGGGGAGAGTAGAAGAAGTAACCATGTGACTCGCCCCATTTCCTCCTCTCTTCGGGAAGTTTCAACATGACGCTTTCGCGAGCAAATTGCGCGCTCAAAGAAAACGCCTGCACTGCAGGCTAGGTGCGTATGCTGTGCCTCTCTTTTTAATTCATATTTAACAGGGTTTACCGTTTTGTACCCTGGAAATAACCAGTTCCCAAAAGCATCATTTTGGACGTACTGAAGCAAGTCATTGGTGTTTGTCATCACTGAATACCACTAGGACTAGAGGCATGGCTGATGATCGTTTGTATTACGAGCTAAGCTCTCCCTCGGAACCGGAACCTGATTGGCCCTAATTCTATCAGTTTTAACGTCCAAGATAGCGGGTGAACATAAGTATCATCGCTCTCACGCCTGCTTTGAAGGGCTAGGTTAAGTACTGTAGGTTCTACTTGCAACCTGTTATGGGTTATAATCAATCTTGACCACTGACGCTCTCACTGTACTGAAGAGCCCGATAACACCTATCATTGAGGAAGAGTTTCTCACTGTAATTTTTATTGTATTATATTTATGTTTAGTAAAGAAGACAGTAATGGTTATCAGTTTTCCCATCGTTACGCCAAGAGAGGTTTCTAGTTCGGAACAGTCTAGAACTGACATGCATCTACATACACCATCCCCAGAGGAGTGTTAAGGCCCAATAAATATGCTGGATTTCTGTGACATTATCAAGGCATGTTACGTTACCTTTACAAGTTGGCGCCTCCGCACTCCACGTTTTATTTTTGAGGCATTTCAACATCACTGCTCCGTGAAGTTCAAAACCCTCGTCACATATGAAGAACACTTTGCTGTCCACACCGAATTGGCTCCCAATCCTTTCTCCATGCTTCGGAATTTGGGGTCGGTTACATTCTTTTGATTCTAAGGTGAATAAGTAAGGAGATATAAAAAAAGTAATATAAGTTATACTGAAGAAAAAAATGTATTATTTTACAAACGCCCTTAAATATAATATGACAATTTTTATATTACGCATTGAGATGGTAATATGGCGAGTATTACAGTTCAAGAAAGGTATCCGGTTAACTGAATCGATGCTGACATTTTCCCGTTTATCCGTGTCCGTATGATATAATGAATAAAAATGACTGTTGTTCGCTTACCAACACAAGCGAAGCTGACTTTGGTCCATTTTCTTCTTAGACAGGATATGAATGACAGTCCCCCAGCCACGCGATATCCTGGTTTACATTTGTAGAATATCCTCGATCCTTTAACGTTCTTTTCTTTTGTCCTTGCAGAAATGACAGCATTGGAAGGGACAGGAGGCTTTGGACAGGCTGGAACTAAAGGGGGAATTAAATCAGTATTAACAGTGAATTAGTACATGGATATCTTCCCTCGCTTTATTAGTTGAATCTTCAAGGCAAAAATAACGTTTTTGATAATAAATACGATTCGAATTTCCAGATTGAAAACTCAATCACTCTGTGGTGTGGGAAACGGCGATCGGTTGTATTACGGCTTTACCTTTCACATTGACAAAATCTAAAGTACACCGTAACTGATACTCTCTCCTTTTTATCAACTTCCTTCCAACATCTCCCAAACACATTAATGAAAGACAGCCTCACATAATGATTTAAGTAGATAATCATGTGTTGCCCATCAGGAGCTGCGAGGGTAACCCCTGTTAGACCTTAACAAATACCCTTGAAATAGATGCAGGATTAGAAGTGGAAATGTGGGATGTGGAAGAGTTAGTCATTGCGCAAAAACATACTGTAAAATTTTTAAGAAAGTAACTTTTATAAATAACCACCCGCTTGCTCGATCCATATATTCCTTCAAAGAAAGTCTGTTCTGATAATATCCGTAAAAAACAATGTCCCCGTCCTAAACGTAATACTGAGCGTTTCATGTTTGCCTTTGTAAACAGACTAATAGTTAAACACAACCTTAGTACCGGATAGTTAGGATTCTATGATTACTTTATTTATTTTATTTTGTTTTACGGTATTCATAAACAGTTGTATATAACATAGGATGTGTATCTCAGTTTATCTAGTGGGAAATAAAGACCCATTTTTGTATTATTATTATACTGACTTAAGAACACTTAAAGAGAAAAGATCGAGGTCGTGATCTAATGGATTAGTGCAAAACTCACCGCACTTGATTTTGGCTTTTTCCCATTTACCAGAGGAGAGGCAGGTCAGATTTGTTCGTCCAGTGAGAGCAAATCCTTTCTTACAGGAGTAATGCACTGTAAGGGTGCCATTTCTCGTCAAGTTACTATCCACTCGGCCATGCTTAATTTTCAGTGGCTCACCACAGTTCCTACCTGTCGTTTGAGATATAGGTAATGGCAGTTTCTTTATAAGACGTTGATGCGATTTTGCGTGCGCTTATATTAAGGAGTCAAAACTTACGGAGAAGGCCTGCAGGCTCAGCAAAGCACATTATTTGTTCCCATACGTCCTCTTTTTTCCTCTTCGATATGTCAGGAAATACATTTGAAGCCTTTCTTTTTCTTCTTATTGCTTTTCTTATTTTTGTTTTGTAATATTTTTGAAAGCTTGATGGTGTGAAATATTAAAAGGTGTGTAAGATCATTCAGTTAACCACCTGTTTTTCGCCAGGAAATTCAAAGTTAGAGGCGGAATTGCTGACAATCACTTCGCTTGAAGAACAAACTATGTCTACTGAGCGTTATGGTTAAATTTACCGAAGACCCGGGAGAAAGCGGGGTGTGTTTGTGTGTGTGTGGGACGGGGGGGGGGGGGGGGCGGATACTACCTCATTTGGCCTCAACAAGTATGTGCTGCTGAACAGGGTGGTGACACTCCTTGTGTTCAAGATGGCCGCACGCATAACGCAATTCGCTCGATCCCGAAGATCTTACCCAGTAAAAATAAGGGACTGTGAACAGTCTATTTCAGTATTCAACAGTGTCTTTTTTTGGACCAGAAGCCCTTTTCTTATGAGTCTGAAGGTTGGCGAAAAGCATTCAGCTTTTAAAGAATACAGAAAATCCAGTTTCCAAAAAGAAATATGACGATTAGTTAAAAAATAAATAAATAAAATAAATAACTAAAATAAGTAAATAAAATACTTATTTCATTATGGGAAAAGAAATCACTGAGGGTCTTAAAATAATAGCCTGTGTACAGACGTCGGCCTCGATCCACTCAAAATCCGAGTTTCTCTTCCTGATATTTTCTGCGGAGGAAGGGCCGGGGGCATCTGTACACAGACTATAAAATAAGGTCGACTAAACAAGGATAGAGAAATGAACGACATTTATTGAAACCCTATTTATATCAGGCTTTTTAAAATTCACCTCAGTTACCATAGTAACGTAAGTATTGTCGTATACCCACAGCGACTTGTTAGGAAATGCTCCCTGAGGTCGCTACTGTAGCTTCAACGGTTTCAAAGTTCACTTAAACTTTAAATTTGTGGGTTTTCTTTCGTTGAAAAGCTGTTACTCGGATAATCTTTAGTTTTTTTAGAGCTTCCAACAATAAAAAAATTGTAGACAGAATGAATTAGCCTGTCTGTGTTATTACTTGAGATAGATTTTGACAAACTGTTACAATGTACAGTTTTAAAAACGCAATCTCCTTTAATCTTCCTCAATCTACTTTAACCTTATTTATTTAGTTTTATTCAAAAGTGAAAGTTCTTCCCTCGATTCTTCTGGAGTCGGAAAGACAGCTACTGTCATACTCTCTAGTGGTTCGGCTTGAAAACCATACCCGATGAGATCATAAGAGACACAATCATCACAGACCATCACATGGTTTAGACTAAAAACCAGAGCCTTTTGGGTGGCACATTCCTACATAGCTTATGTAGCGAAGTTGCCCCCCCTTAATCTACCCACCCCCTGGGCATTTTACTTGAATCAGCGCAATCGAAACCCCCAACATTTTTCCATGTTTTTCCGCAGGAAGGATTTCCTTGATCTTCGGGATAGAAATAACAAGGGTTTTAATTTTCATTAGTAAAAAGAGAGATTAACTAATCACTCTTACCTTTTACCGACAGCAGGCAACAACACAAGATAATAACTGCACAACACACTTTAACGTCAGCCATGTTGTGAATAACGTACAGACGTTATCTCATTGTAAGTTAATCCCCTCCCTTCCTGCTGAAGGGGAAGTGATATCGTAATACCAAAACATGGAAACAGCGCAGTAAGACACGCAACACCGCACGCCCGACTAAACTCATTCGTAATTCCAAAGCTTATGTAATAGTATCTTCATAAATTCGAAAGCCGTTAGTCATTGACTACAATTCTTTCTCCTAAGAGGGCGAACTTCGACACTTGCAATTCAGTAAGTTTTAATTGTTATGCACGCCTATGTTCATAAATAATAATAATAAAAAAGTACTAATAAATCATGATTCACTCACGGAAATGAATTCTGTTAAATAAATCAACAAAAATACTTAAAAAGTTTGGGATGTTATGATGCAGCTGAATGCTAGGAAATACAAAAAAGAAAAAAACGGTTGACCTTTCTTGAAGGTGATCTTGTTTTTTTAAAATCTATCACTATCATTGATATATTGTAATGCAATGGTCCAGCTCAAATCGCTCACGTCCGGAGAGAATTCTCTCCAGTCAATTCATAATAAGGCAGAGGTTACACATTGATTCACCACTAAGAGTTCTAGTATTAGCACAAAAAGAGAATGAATTGTCGTGAGCTAAACGAATGAAGGCAGTCCTTGTGGTACAGACAACACGCGACACGTCCCATCGGAATTGAAATCCATCAACAAGTGATGATTTATTTAGTTTCAGATCAGATTTGACTCCCCGCCAACCTACCCTCAGCGCAAACCACGTCTTCCATTCAAGGAAAACAACTTCCTGTCCCGTTCAGTCAGTCGTCAGAAGGCTGCTTATTGGAGATGATGAAATACGCAGTGGTAATTCTCGCTGTACTTATTCAAGGTAAACTTATTTTCGTTCATTTTCAATCAATTGTAACGCTTTCACTTGATGAACGCAATTTACTTACAGTTCGGTCATTAGAATTATTAGCCACGTTTCTTTGTTAAATATGCAGCTAAACATTTCTTTCACTTAGAATAAATCGGACCTCATGATAGCACGCGTAAGCTCCTTAAGTGAAACCTGAAGCACAGACAGTGAAAAAATGTACAGTATGAAAATCAACGATGTAGAGAAGTATACGGGCAAGCAACAAAGCACTTACGTGTGGGCCCAAATTCGTTGTTTACGACATGATGGTTGGCTTTGCAGATTGTGTAAAACCCTAAGATTATCTGACAGGCATTTGATTTAGTAGTTGTCATTCGCTTTATTTTCGTAATATCGCGGGATTGCTTGCAGTGAGCGTATGACCCATACCTTCTTCTTTTCTGACCCATACCTATCCTGTTTTGTTTTTAAAATGGCGCTGCACAACTTGATTTCGGTCAATGACCGTTGTATATGGTGTCCCAAGGTGTCCCGATAAAAGAAGTAGAGCCAAACAGTTATATTTGACAAAAATATGTAATTCATTTTGTAGGCATTCAATCCAAAAACTGCACCCGCACAAACACAAAAAAAGATTTTTGTGTTAAGTCATGCGATCCTTCCCAAAACAGCCCTTGCAAAGGAAATAGACTTTGCCTGTGCGATGGCGACTGTGGCTTTAGCTGCGTCAAGGCAGGTGTGTACCTTAATTGCAATATCGTCTTTGTCTTTTCAGCTTATACTGCCTGTCAACTTTGTAGTTTCATGTCGACGGGATTGATAGGAGTGGTTGATTCTTATTTATTTTTCAAAGGATCAAATTCCTAACCGTGTGGTAACGGGAAGAGCGAGGAGGAAGTAAACTGTGATCCCATCAACGATCTCCTGGCACTTTAAACGAAAATTTTCTTATTCCATGTTTTGACTTTTTTTTATTTTTACTACAATTGATTAAACAAAATATTTCCCTTAATACATCATCCGGATATACTGGTAGAACAATTAAAAAAACCTTTATACACTTTTTTAGAACGTGCTGTAGGATAAGTCGTTTCAGCGTGATTCTGTAAAAACTTCCGCTTTCCTCAGAGCTACCCGGCGACACTAAATGAAGGAAGGGGTTTATACCCCCCTAGTAACGAATCTAAAGAAAACAGTTTCATCTGTATGGAAAATATTTTGAATTGAGTGTGATTAGTCCTGAAACACTTCATTTGGATCAGTGTGTCCATCCTTACCACCTCGTTGCAACAGACGATAAGAAAAAGATTCAGTGCTTAAATGTTGTTTTAAATAACAAAACTGAATCATTACATGTAGTTTTGGAATTCAATTGATGCAGAGACACTCTTTATGGTGATCAGTCTCTCCCACTTAGAGGCCACGAGTCAGTATGCAAAAGACAAAGAAAAAACATGACAATGAGGTTGATGTTTGTTTTTCCTTATCACGCCGAATGAAGTTGTAATACAACTAATAATTAGCCCATGGGTCTTAGCCAGAGAGATATGGCTTGATAAACGGAGAATGGATATTACCAAAGAACAAACGTTGTAATAAATTTGCACATGTTTCTTTCTCTGTGGTAGATCGCCGTTGCCCGACGCCTGAGATACCAGCTAACGGACGAGTTCGTGGCAAAAACACTACCTTTGGCTCCGTTATCAAGTATCGATGCTCTTCCAGTTACAAACTACAAGGGCCTAAAACAAGAACGTGCAGAGGAAATGGGAAATGGGACGGAGAAACGCCAATCTGCAGTCAGTTGAACCGTATTGTAATGATTCCTCTATTTAGTGTCCTCCTCTCACACAAGCAATTCTTCCCCCTTACAGTCAACTCTCGCCTTTCGGATACCTTGCTATGACGGACACCCCGATAATACAGACAGCAGCTAAATCCAAGGCAAAAATAATTTACAGACGATTGACTGAAATAAACTCCCGCTACTAAGGACTCTCGGTAATGAGAACACTAACTCGAGGTCCCAACAGTGTCCGCCATAAAGGGAGTTGACTTTATTCAGAAAACAAGTCACTCCGTTATTGGACTCTGTTCTAACAAACAAACGAAGGCTTTTACAGTCAACTCTCGCCTTGCGGGCATCTCTTTATTACCGACACCCCGCTAATACGGATAGCTGCTGAATGCCCGGCGAAAATTTCAGACGTTTGACTGAAACAAACTCCCGCTTAATCACAAACTCTCGCGATTACGGACATCAATCAACATCTTGCGGCAACATTTTGGTAGAATTATCTCAGATTATAATTTATTTCTTCCTCTTCCTCTGTTCGTCTCTGTCACCTTGGTTGAAAAGTGAGCATCTGTTTAACATCATACCTCTATGAAACTACCGTACTTACTTGCAAAAAACAATCAGGATGCGCTTAATGTAGATAAATTGGAATTTTAGTACCATAACTGTACTTTATGGTTTCTCATTAGTACTGTATCTCATGAACGCAGACGTTGTAACCAAATCAACAATATCCAAGTACTTCATACTCCAGTTTTAAATTAATGGTATTACAAAAAAACTCTCTTTCAATCAGAGGGAAGGTGTACAGACCCTGGAGACATATCCAACGGGAGAAAACAAGGCAATAATTATGAAAGTGGACAGAAGGTGAAATACACATGTTCCAAAGGTTTTACAATGCAAGGAAGCAGTACCTTGACATGCAAGAACACAGGCAGTTGGAACCGACCTAAACCCAAATGCGTTTGTAAGAGAACCAATACGAAGGCTTTCAGATACTGCAAAAAATCCTGCAATCCTAAGAGAAAAGATTGCAAAAAAAACAATGAATGCGTGTGTGATGGCGACTGTGGCTACAGCTGTGTTGCAAAAGGTACTCGTTGTTTCTGTACTTGATTGTGACTTGATTGTACATACACAGGTACTGCTACTGTGGCGTGTTAGTCATTAGTTCTCTTCGACATGATTCAAGAGAATACTTTGCCGTTACGGTACCTGAGCATGCGTGCCTCTATGCTCCGTAAACCAGCCACAGCCTCGGCCCAGTTGCTCTAAGCTCAGTTAAAACTAACCCCAGAGAACCCCAGAGGATTAATTCACCAATAAGCGTGCGTTTTTGTATGCTGTTCTGCATTTTAGTGGATCTCTGAGTAAAGCACACCAGGGTTCAACAGTAATTTTAGAAGCCAATTTGCATGTTCAAGGACAAAAGCGTTTCGTTTGATCATGATATTTAGCTTAAGCCTGATTTAGCTTTGCGAGCACGGATTGTACTTTTTAAGGACCGCTTCATTTGTGTGCTTCTAGTCGGCTATTTTATGCTACTTGTTTAGGGATGGTAATTAGCTGCATTTAACTGACTTCGCCTCTGTAGGTTTAACTTGTAGCAGACCAGTGCAAATTGACAATGGTAATAGACAGTATACCTCCACAAAGTTTTGGTCGACAGTCAAGTATCAGTGTAACAAACCCTACACCCTTGTCGGAGCTCAAACTCGAACTTGCCGTGGAATAAGAAGTTGGGATGGCATCGAACCCGTTTGCAGTGAGTATATGTTCACCAGCGGTTCTTTGCTGCATGGTTTCATAGGATTTAAGGTCACTTATGTAATTAAAAACTAGCACTTTTAACTTACTTTTGTTCTGAATAAATAAGACATGTGTTTTCTTGAAAATGAAGAAAACTTGACAGTGTAAATCAGAGCGGCTTAGGGAAGGAAATTAAACTGAATTGAGATTGTGTTGATTGTTTGCTTGTGATTAACATAACTTGTTAAAGCAAAACATCACTAAGTCTTTTGAATTGATTTCAGCGTGATTGTTCACTAATTAATAGACCATGGGCAACGACCCGCCGGGGAGGAGGGGGGGGGGTTACCTGACTAATATTTAGGTATATGAGAGCCCCTGAGGTTTTGAAACTCTGACCCTGTTTAGGACGAAAAAAAATTTCTAAAACACCACCCTCTTTAGGACAACGCCCTTAATTTTACTACCCTGTTAAGGGCAAAGGACAAAATGCACGCCGCCGTATTGGCAAATGCATTACAGCAAATTCACGTTATAATCATTTCCTTTGTATTGTATAAAATTGATCCAGCAAATGAAACCAATCGTGCAAGCAATACCCTGTTGACAGACTCTCACGAAATTGCATACCTCGGTTAGGACAGAGAGGTCAGAAACCATACCCTGCCAGCGGCACATCCCCGCATAGGGCATATGAGGGAGAACCCCTTCCAATCCCCCCCATCACCACCCCTCAACACCCTCGCTCGGGGCCAACGACTCATCACAGTGAAGCTTTGTATAAAGCTAACCTAAACTTTACTCTAAATGATACACCGTGGTAAAGTATTTCATATTTTTAGAAATCATCTGCCAAGACCCAGGAGATATAACACACGGGAGTAAACAATCCTTTCGTAGAAGTTACGACGATGTTTATGCTACTGTGGGAGACAGAGTAGAGTATAACTGCTATCCAGGCTACAAAATGGAAGGCTCTCAGCTGAACTGCGATAAAAATGGAAAATGCTTTAAGCAGCTGGTCTGTAATAAAAATGGAAAATGGAGCGGATCCAAACCAAATTGCACAGGTAGGTGGGCCTGCTAAGTGCCTCTTCAGCCGTGCGTACTTCATGAAGTACTTTAAAATCAGGTCATGTGCTGACGAAAAATGAGCAACGAGTAATTAACATATACCGGCCCAAGTATAACACGATATATATGCTGCTTTCGACCTTAAAGATACGTTGTTTGATATACATGTACATGTAGTTCTAAATAAGCCAATTGTAATATAAAATGTATTTTTCAAAACTAGAAGGGGGATGCTCGTGATAGGCTCAACTAGCCTTTTTCCCGATTTAATGAGAATAAGAATTCGAAGTCGACTCAGAATAGGTTTTAGGTTTCATTTGTTTTTGCTTACATTTGTTCTTATGTTTTATTTTTCGTTCCCCCCCTTGCTTTGTAATAGTACCAACGTGTGGTCCTCCTCAACTTCCACCAAATTCTGAGTTATGGCGCTCTCAAAGTGGTAAAACTTCTTACAACTATAAGGAAAGAGTGGCGATTAAGTGTAAAAGTGGATATTTCATCAGAGGCTTTGGATATAGAACATGTGATAGTTCCGGATGGACTGGACCCAAATTTTCTTGTTCTCGTAAGTTACATTATACCGTTAAATTAAAATAATTTTAAATTTTTGCATTCAAAAACTTTTTCCTCCATAAACCTGTTTTCGTAAGGTTATGAAGACGGTTATTCTCATGTGATTGTGGTCCGGTGAGCTTACGTCACGCAAATTGAGGTGATCGTTATATTGGATTTGACTTGGATTTTCAAGTAAACAAATGATAACCTGTTTAATCAAGTCTTTCCTGCCTTTGAAACAGCTTATAAAATTAAACTAAATTTGTGCAAAGAACATTTCTTTGGAACAAATAAACAGCCTTTAAAGAATAATTAAGGCTTCAATTTTCTTCCACAAATAACGTCAAACAAACAAATCCCAAAATATGGGGAAGGGGGCCTCGGTTTCCTTCAAACATTCTATAGTGCTATCTGTCGGATAAATCACTTTCCAGCAGTGTAGTATACTAGGGAAAACAACTGCGTTATCGACTGGGATGTAATATATCAAGCATGAGAAGCAGTGTTTCATCACTCGATGAAACACTGCCGGAGAAGAGAGTTGAAAATACAAGGCACAGTGCAGACACTCAGTGGAGTATTTTTGACGAATTTCTCACACTGACAGAGATCGCTATAATCGCACGCGCTGGGTGATAGCAACATATGTCGCAATTCTCTACCCATCAGAGCGTAATAATGTTAAAAATTAAAGTAAGTTTAAGGATATGAGGTATTAAATCCAGGAATTATCAATAACCTTAACTTTTTGTTCTGAATGTATAGTTGAAAATAAATAAATCTGAGAAATGGCCGGTTTGGATTTTAACAGAAGACAAAATAGCACCTACAAAAATTACAACTCTGGTGATGAAACACTGCATCGAATGCGTAATATTGCTTCTCAAACAAGAGGATTTTAGAAGAAGAAATTATGGATGCAAAAATGAACAGTTTTTCATCTGATTTCCAAACACTTATGTACCGGAATTTTCTTAATGAGTTTGAGAAAGTGTTATTCAAGTTTTCAACAACTATGGCAATGGGGTAAATAATTTTGTTGAGGGCAATGAGGTTACTTTTTTTGCTTGGGAACAAGTAGATTTCGCTCCAAAATCCCTCTTTAGCTTGCAGGGCCCTCGATTTGCGAGTTGCTTTCCAGACATTCAACGAGGAATGACCATAAAATAGAGTTTTTTTTCGTAGCAAAGTGAAATTGGAGTGGAGTAGAAAAGTCGCTTATATTTCACTGACGATTAAAATAGTTTAAGCCGGCGAACAATATCCACTGGACGAAAAATTGAATTTAATGATATTTGCCTCAAAGACAAATCTAAGACAAATCTGATGTCAGATTTGTCCACCCATCAAATGTCCCAAATGTGAGACAAATCTGTTATCACATTTGTCTTGAGGAAATGTGAGACAAATGTGATTCAAATATGCCATTATATTTGCCCTTGTACAAAGATATCTTAAAACAAGACAAATGCGAGAAAAATAACTTTTTGACTTCTCGTTCCAGTAAAATCGCTATATGATTTTCTGGATTGTTTAGAAACAAGGCTGTTGTTTGTCTCATTAATTAATTAATATATTTATTTGGTTGTTTTTGGCGCAATGGGTAACCCTTGTCAAGTACTCGTAGATGCATGTAGGTGTAGATATGTAGAAATTGCAATGAGGGATTTTCTGGCCAGCTATTATTGCGCCTTACTCACACTGGATCAATGCTCCGATCAACTTGCCGTACTTTATACGCTGATTAAAACGTTTACAGAGGCTCGTTATATCGAGGTTCCACTGCATTCAAGTCAAGTCAAGTCAGAGTCAACTTTATTTAGGCAGAGTGGCCCTATCAGCCATTGGCTGGTATCAATAGGGGCCCTGCGTAAATTACGACTACACGATAAAAATATAAAAATTAAAAATTACTTTAAGTGAAGTGAATAAAAGGGAATAAAAGGGAAATTAAAAATTACTTTAACTGACGTGAATAAAAGGGAAATTACCGTCTCTTCATAAAAATGACAATTTGTTTATATCCATGTATTAAAAAGGAGTCTTTTGAAGTTTTAGCGTATGCTAGGAAGTTACCTTCACAGCTTGAAAAATCAAATTTACGTGAGCGTAATGACAACGTAAAGTCAGCGTATAGTTGAATTTTACACAACTTTACGCTTCCTTTACTCTACGTAAAGTTCAGCTTTACAGCACCTTTACGCGTACATATAAAGCTGGCGTAATGAAACAAAAACTTTACGCAACACCTTTACGTTTTGCGTAAAGCTTGTGTAAACCCTACTTTAAGCTTGTGTAAAGCGAAAATACAAGCTCCTTTACGCCATATATATATACACATAAACACACTGGAAACTTTAAAAATAAAGGGAAATATAATGGTAATCGGTAAATTTTTCTTACCAAACTTTTAACAATCGAAATTTTATTTTTGTCCATGTCACACAAACATTGGATTTTTGTTGCGTACTTAATACCGGTTATTTTCTTTGGTTCCCCATCATTTCTCCATAGTATTTACAATCTGGAGCCATGGAGGATTACTCATATATATATTACAAACAATTGTATGAGTAATCCTCAATTCAAGTTTCGACACAAAATAAAATACCCTAATATGTAACAACACTTCAACACACAGTTAAAGGATTAGGCCAGAAATTTTGTTTTTATTCTTCAAAACTGACAACAAAAACGAAAAGTTATAAAGCGTTGAGAACCCAATAGACTTATAGAAAAATAAGAACCCAACTTCAAACTGACATTAGTCATCCCTACTATTAAGTTATAACTTGCTTTAATGGAGTTATATTGTTTAACCAGTAGATGAACTTTGAGTAAGTAGTAGTTTAAAAAATAGGGCCCCTTTCCGTTTCCAATTTTGCATTACCATAACCAATTTTCAAATTGCCTATCTTTATTTTTACATTTCAAATCCCATGAAAATCGCCAGGTATGCTACATTGTTGTAGCTGCAAAAGCTGCAAATACGAATCGCATTCTTTAAGTTTAGTCCCGCAAAGAGTGATATTACAAGGTTTTAAAAAACAAAACACACTGATTCTCTAAAACTGAATTTTCTAAATATAACATGATTTATTTCTGTGTTAGCATCTTTGTCATTACATTAAAAATAAAAAAAAAAAAACGAAAATTTTTCCAACACGTAAGGTTTAAATAAGAAGATACAGTGTACATAAACTTTTCAAATGGGTCAAAACAGTCTTCTCAAAATATCCAAAAAAAATCATCTTAACTTAGTATTATACCAAATTAAGATGATTTATAGTTTGAAATAACTATTAGCATTTACATGTAAGGTACAGGGTGTACAAGAAAACTGATGAAGTTAAATTTTGATAAAAAACAGCAACTCTAACACGCAAATTAATGTAAAGGTGGGTCGAAATGGTCTCTTCCAAAATGAAAATATTTAGTATAATTTAGCATAATTCAGATTAAAAGCTTAAACAATTTTAGATAAGAAATAAAAAGACTGAAAGCCTAATACATGTATAACATTGATGGTTTCTTGATTTAGCCCTTTCACTCCCAGAAGTGTTTACAGTCAAACTTAACAACAAAATCCAAATAACAAATCATTTTCATAAACTGATGATGTAAAAGTTAGATGCACAAGGCTGTCACTAAGATTGCAAGTTGCAGGGTTTAAGTGAAATTAGTGAGCGGGACATTGAAAATGTGGAAAGTTTCGTTTCCTCTCAAAACAGCCAAGTATTGGGCTCAAAGTAGCCGATTTAAAGTCTGGTTTATGGCCCTTAGTGACAGCCCTGGAACCACTTTACAAGACTAAGGCTTGTAATTAACATGTATTAATCCTGTTTGCTTTGAGAGGACTTTCTGTCACCAACATCCCATACCAGGCTGATCTGCTGAATAAATAGAAAGCAAGTATTATTTGAGTAAACTACACAGATTATTTGTAGGCTAGTGATAATACACTTAATCACGCACTAAAGGCACAAGTACATGTACAGTAAGGGGGTGTTTACATGAGAAAACTCACACCGGCGCGAGTCTCATACCGGGATGACTTTTTGATTTTGTATCGGGTTTACATTATGACTGAGTCATTTCATATCTCGTTATTTGAAGGTACACTTTATGTTGATAAAATACAAGTGTGATACAAAATAGCAAACATTACGCGTGCGCTACCCATTCCAGTCTACCGGCAGACCGATTTCATGCTGAAACGGGTGGTCGTTTCGCATTTACATGATACTGCCATGAGATTTTGTACCAGAGTGAAATTCTCGCCCTGGTACAAGAACCGGGGTGAACTCACGCTGGGGTGACTCGCGCCTGCATGACATTTTGTGGTGGTATCATGTAAACAAATATAGAGCTATGAGAGGGAACCGGAGTGAACTCGCTCCGGGGCAAAAGTTGCCCCGGTGTCATGTAAACACCTCCTAAGTTGCCAGAGGACACCGCCTGCTATTACCAATTAATAATATTTTTTCCTACACTCATGGCCAAATTACTACAATCAGCACAATTTTACTTGACACAGGGTTCCCCACATGCCTCTTTTCACAAACCAAGACTAAAAATTTGAAAAAAATGATAAGGCATTTTCCACAAGTGGTCTAATAACAGTGCAAAACCTGAGTAGCAAATGATTTCAATGTCCACAAATTCACACGACTGAATAAGATTCATCTGACTGTTAAAGATTCAAAATGTTTGACTAGTATGAGTTAAAGGCTTTCCTTAAAGGCAATAATATTTACATTCAGAACCCTACTTGCAGTTGAGTGAAAATCAGGGTAAAATACTACATGGAAACCCTATAATAATAATAATAATAATAATAATAATAATAATAATAATAATAATAATAATAATAATAATAATAGTAATGAACTTTATTAAAGTCTCATGTCTTATAACACAGGCACAGTGCCTTACTAGTTGGGGAGACTGAAGCATATATATATGTTAAATTTATTAACAATGGTTTATTATATTATTAGAGTTCAATGTTTTACAATGTATATCTTTTTTTATTTTAATGTCTGCATTTTTATAAAAGTATCATCCATTAATATCGTTGTAAAGTGCTATGAAAAACCACTGGATGTACATTATTATTATTATTAAAGAGTAAGCAGTGCGCAAAGAAAGTAGTGTCCGATAGCCCGGGGCTAGTGGATTTTGCTATCGAGCTAGTGAATTTTGAACTTAACTTGCCCGATGGGCAAGTGAAGTTTTTTTGAGGAATTCAAATTAACGAAGAACTGTGAAATCGATTCTGCTCATCAAAACGGTTTGGGGGCTAGTTGAAATGACATTTGGGCTAGTATATGCTAGCTTCAGCTTGCCCGAATGGCAAGCTTTAAAAATCACCTTCTTTGCACCCCGGTAAGAGAGAAATTTTCCTATCCACTTGTCCTTCACACAAGCAATACATTAAATTTGGTTGTCCGAAACCTAGAGTTCTTGTCCAAAAAGTTTAGCTTGCAACGGGCATTTAATGTTTTTAATCACATTATTTAATCACAGTATTACCCTTGTATATTATTTTTGAATGAAACCTACAACAGAGCTTGTAAAAAAGCAAATGGATGAAACGACTGGCAGTGGAATGGCAAAGTTAAATGGAATATTGTTTCTTATCTTTATTTTTCTAATTAAAAATGTGCTTCTCCCACGGACAAGTCATATCATAGGTTTACATGTTCGAACTAAATTTCTACCTGTCCCGGACTAAAGTTCCAAATCAATAAACATCCCTAGCCTTCTCATGAGCTCCACCAAAGACTTTCAGGGAAAATATAGAAACATATAAGCACCTTATTCCCAAAAGTTTCAAATTTTCCTGAAACTTTACCTAATATATTTTTTTCCTTTTTAATATGAAACGTTCAAGGTTCCTAGTTAATGTAACAGGAGTGAAGCCACTTTGCTATTTAAAGCCCTTATTCTGAATCTTGAAAACAATGCCTCCTAATAATAATGTACAGTGTACCCTGTAAATAAAGCAGCCTATTTTCTTTCCTTGCCACCAGGGACATTTCACAAGAGAGACAGTTGTATTTGCAGATTAATAATGGTGTATGTAGACAAGAGAATCCAAAACAGCTATGACTGCTATGACTCTCTTAACAGTCTTATCTTTCACAACTTGTTTCTTTAAATTTTATTTTCCTTTAAACCTAGATTTACTGATGATACAACTACGGTGCAAATAGAACAATTTCTGGTTTCTAACATGACTGTGTGCTTTGCTTCCCAAAAAGTAAGGCATTCAATTTCCTGACAGTATGTGCTGCACTATATCCTCTCAAGAACCACAATATAATTTCATAGGAGCAGTGCACAATGAAGATTAAAATTAATGGTAATATATGAAATGAATCATACTTTGAACTGCAGATGAAGGTATGAAACTGTGAAGATGTTAACAACTATGTTGGCACTTACATGAAAATACATTCTAATTCAATCATGGTCTGCATTAGCTATGCATTGAAAGACTCATGAAAATGTCTATTCATTCTCTGTTCATTTAAGTTAAAACCCACGTAATTTAAAATCAAAAATAAACTTTTGTATCTGCTTCAAAAAATACATGCATGCTGTTAAATTATTCACCACTTATGACGCTATGACTGCCCGGGGAATTGGGAAGCTTGGGTTTGTTATTGACTGACGCATGAAAATATACAACCAGACTACGTAGATTATCTTTGCCTACTTGCAAATTCAACACTTGTTAACACTTTTCTATTCTGTTTATTAGTTCTTCTATAGTCTGTGAAAATTTTCATAAGAATGTTTGTATCACATTACATGTAAGCTTACTTTATACAGATGTCCTTTCTTAATTCCATTATTTTCTTTTAGTAATTCCCAGTACCAGTGACCAAACTCCTATTTTCCAGTACAAAACAAGGAAATTCTACTCCTTCAGACCCCCAAAGTCCTTACATGATTTTACATTATCATCTTCAACGTCATGGTCTCGTTGCTTGCTTAGTATTGAAAGGTTATGCCAAATAAATACACATGTTTAGTTATAATTTACTTTAAACGGTTAATGCTGGTTTCATTGCTCACTGAAATGTTAGTTACTGAGTACTTGAGACAGTCATTCGAACTCGTCATAAACAAGTTGGAATTAAGCTTAAAAAGTTAGAGAAAAGGCGAGCCAGGACAACTTACCTTGCCTTACTATCTGCTCTTTTCAGCGAGATCTTGAGTATCGAAGAGCCTTAGTAATAAGTGTAATACAGTCTTGGTCTGTGTTGTGAACATTCCAGTGTTAATGCTTGTGCTTCACACGATGTTTCTGTCTCCATTTTTGACTGAGTATCTCGTCCCGAAAGGGTTGCTGCACACTTGAGAAGTGATCGATAACTAAAGGCTGATAGTGCCATTATAAATTGTAACAACCTTAAGATGTCCTGTGATGCTATCAAGAAGCATAATATATGAACGATCTCCAACCTTTCAAAGAAGCAAGTTTGAAACCGTTGGACACTTTCAAAATGGACGCCAAATCAACGAACCTGATTGAGCATGTGCAAAGGTACAAGCCCGCTGACCAGGTGTCCCTTCACTCGATTGTTTCCAGGCCCCTTTCTTTTAACAAATTGTCCGTTCCCAAACCTGAAGTCCGCGGACTTAAAATAAGGAAGCGATAAAGGAGGTTCAACGATGAAGCCAGTACTCCGTTGAATGTAAAATGGTCACAGTAATTTGTGAATGCGTTCTTTCTCTTTAAGTAATGCGTTCTTTCTTTAAGTAAGACTCGCCGTTTTTGCGAGGCGATATTTTTTCTTTATTTTCCAATTATTTCAATTTGATCAAATTACAGTTGAAACTCTCTACAACGGCCACCTTAGGGACATCGAAGAAAGTGGCCATAGTAGAGAGGTTGAAAGAAGAGTAAATGTATGTCATGTATGGACCGTCCGCCGAAAAAAAAAAACAACAAAACAAAAATGGCCCGTGTAGAGAGGTGACCGTTAAGGAAGAAACACCTTATACTGACTGAAATCAATGAGGGAATACCACTGAGTATTGAAGGCTATTGTGTTTGCCGCGACAGATATGCCGTTTTTCGAAAATTGCCGCACAGTCGCAACTTATATCTTTGCATGAACTCTGCCAGCAGAATTTTCTTTTCAGCGTCATTTTTAAGCGTGTACGAAGTCGTTCGCACCACCAAAAAAAATTTGCGTGGTTGGCTTGTTTACATCGCACACCAACATCGAACACCAAATGAGTGATCAAAAAAACTATGCGAACTAGTATCAGGACACAAACGACTTACTAAAAACAGTGCCGGGAATAAATTGCTGTTAGGAATTAAGCTAGCATTATATTACAACCTTACTAAACCTTTACTTGTAGCGTAAATGAGCGTAAAGCTGTTACAACAACTTTATGCTAGCTTTACGAAACCTTTAAGAGCCGAGCGCGTAAATTTACCTTTACAAACCTTTACGCGCCGTGGAAAGTTAGCGTAAAGTTGGATGACCAACTTTACGCAGGTTTACGCAAACTTTAATTTTGCGTAAA